TGCCACACTGTCTGCCATGAGATGGCTCAGGTCTCACCTCTGGATATGGTCAACATCTTCTGCCTACTTCTACAATCACCCAGCAGGAAGGTCGGGCTCACAGTAAATCTTTAGACTCGTTATAAAGAGGGTTCGCTCATTCATTAAATGAATTAGGATTAGAGAGGCATCACCCACTGACTTGAGTGCTAAGATTGCAGATTTTCCTGGTGCTCATTTAGGGAGGAACATGTTGCCAATTTCTCTCGGCACTTCCAGCATCTCGGTCTCCAACCTCGCTGCTGAGGTGAGATTCAGAGACGGTCCCTTCACATCCTACTACCTGTATTCCACTAGGAAGGTGGACGATAGTTTAATACTCAGCTGACATTCCGCCTTTCACCTCCTTCCAGCCATTTTCTTGCCTTTCTTCACTGTCTAGTATTATTTGAGACTGTGTATCTGCTTATAGACTAAAAGCTTTTTTTTTTTTTTTGAGAGCAGGGACCATGTATGAGTCACCTGTTTCCACAAGAATGCCATGTAACAAACAACCACAAAACCTCAGCGGCAGACGATAGCTGTTTATTTCACGAGTCTGCAGTCGAAAGTCCACTGGGAGCGGTTCTGCCGATCTTGGTGGGGTTCACTTGCATGTTTTGGGGTTGACCAGCTGTTCGCCCATCTAGGCTGGCCTCAGTTGGGGCAACTGAGGGGACTTGGCCCTGCTCCACGTGTTTCTCATCCTCCAGCAGGCCAGCCTGGCCATGCCCTTCTCATGGTGACGGCAGAGGTGCAAGAGAGAACAAGGCGAAACACACAGACCCTCGTGAGGCTGGGCCCAAAACAGGCATACCATTCTCTCCACCTTTTTTATCGACCATAAGAAGTCAAGTCCAGATACAAAGGTGGGGAGGTAGACTGCCTTTTTTGAGAGGAACTGCAAAATTACAGGGTAAGGGGTATGGGGTCATTAATGCAATCCATATACTATGGACCTATATAATTCGCCTCTTATTTGGAACTTAGGCTGATGCTTTGCAAGTAGTGCATAGTTAATAAATACATGTCACATAAAAGTAAAGTTAATTGATTAGATTTTCTAATCACAACTGAGCCGACTGACTGATGTAGCCATTAGCTGGAGTTTGTTGGAAGGGAAGTTTCTGTCATCCTAGTAGAATCTCAATTTCTCTTTTAGAATCTGAATTTTTCCTGCACTGGGTGCAGGGACAGCTTGGTTGCCACTAAGAAGTCCCTCTTCTTGTCATCTTTTCTGTCATGGGTTCTGCTGCTGTCATTTTCAGGATCTTGGAGTGTAAGTGTCTGAGAGACAGGGAACAAAGCGGGGGAGAACTGTTCATCACCCTGACGTGTCTCGGTTGCCTCTGGAAGAGTAATTTGGTTCATGTATTGAGCACTGAATGGATGTAAAGAGGGAGAAGCAGCTCTGTCCAGTGTCTTTAGCTTTTGTTCTTGTTTCTGCCCCTCAGAGCAGCACATGGGAAGTAGGGTCCTTAGGCCAGCAGCCGCATCAGCATCGCCCAGGAGCTTGTTAGAAATGCAGACGCTGCTTCCCAAATCAGACACCCTGGGGCTGAGGCCCAGGGAATCTGTGTTTTAACAAGTGCTCCAAGTGATTCTGACAGGGAGGAGGTTTGAGACACCCTGCCTAACCCCCGTGGGCCATGGAAGCTAACAGTGTCGCTCCCACTACTGACTCAGACACGGGGCGTGCGTGGGGCACCTCTGAGGAGGTCACGACGCACTCTGAGCCTTGCAATAGTCAGGATTACAGGCTCAGGGCCTCCTGGTGTTGGACACCAACGGGGGCACCCCCAACCAGCTCACTTAAAGTCACTTGCCCTGCTTTGTCGTTTGCAGGGGTACACCACTGAGGATGCCAGGGCTGCGTTTTATACCTGCCTTTACACCTGACTTTTATACCTAACTTTATTAGAAGGCAGATCTCAAGGTTGGAACAGGCTCCTTCTCCCCAGACAGACCGGGCAGGTGCCAAGACGTGGGACAAAGTGTGCTCAGGTTCAGACACCTCCTCCCCTTCTTGCCCCCTCGCTCTAGAGAGCCCCCAGGACCACTAGGCCTGTGGGCCCCCACCTCTGGTACAAAGAAGTCTGTATGGCTGGTGAGGGCACTGTCAACACAAAATAAATACCAGCGCCTTTGAAGCAGCATTTCACCAGGGTTAGCGGTGTTTTCTCCCCGAAGTCAGAGAAACGCCTGTGTCCAGCCCTCTAACTCTTTAGCTCCGTGAACGAGGCCTGGCCTGCAGGCTGAACTCAGCACAGCCAACTAATCTGTGTGTGTGTGTGTGTGTGTGTGTGTGTGTCTGTCTGTCTGTGTGTGTGTCTGTGTGTCTGTGTCTGTGTGTCTGTGTGTGTCTGTGTGTGTCTGTGTGTGTGAGAGAGAGAGAGACGGGCAGAGTTACCAGTTTGCTGTCTCCGGGGCTGAGTACCAGCCGCCTTGCCCGTATCCCTCGCATCCCTACGATGGAGGCTCACACAAGCCTCTTCTGTTTGATTCACATAGAACCGTGAGAAACAGCCCCGTATGTGAGGCCGTGGTTTTCATTCTATTCAGTCTTTGTATGTTCGGATTCTTCCAGTTTCAGCTCTTGCTGTTCTGCCAGGTTTCCATCGCATTGATGGCTTCTCTGAATTAATAAGTGTTTTGCGATCGTGAAAAGTTTTCTTCCCCCAAGCACCGGGACTTACCCATATTGATTTTTATCCCCTTTCTCTTTCCTCTCTAGCTACTTCTTAGACGTTCTATTTTGTAAAGTGTTAATAGAATTTTTCTTGCGCTCCAACGCTGTATCTATTCAAGAGGTCTTTGTGAGGTCCATTGTACACTGGACCATAGAGGAAAGAGCTCTATTCTTTTTTTTTTTTTTTTTTTGCGATACGCGGGCCTCTCACTGTTGTGGCCTCTCCCGGTGCGGAGCACAGGCTCCAGACGCGCAGGCTCAGCGGCCACGGCTCACGGGCCCAGCCGCTCCGCGGCATGTGGGATCCTCCCGGACCGGGGCACGAACCCGTGTCCCCTGCATCGGCAGGCAGACTCTCAACCACTGCACCACCGGGGAAGCCCAAGAGCTCTATTCTTTACGACAATGGTTGCCCCCAAAAAACATACACAGAGCCTCCTCCTCACTCATCAGGGTGGAGCAAATATTAGCAGGGCAGCATCAGAAAACATCCAGAAGTAGGAAGGAGAAGAGGGACCCAATTACGCACGATGGAAAGGAGGGGCGTTGAAAATACTTTTTCTTAATTCAAACTATTTATCTCCTAAGGGGATCTGAGTTTCAGTACCCAAACATGGCCAACACAGAAGGGGGGCTGTTTTTCTTACTGTTAGGCATTTTCAGCTCAAAATAAGGACTTGGCAAACATCTTAGAAAATATGGCAGTGGGTGTGAAACGGATGTCATGTTCACCTGCACGATACCCAGCAGGCTTCGCCCACCACCCACCCGCACCCCAGGCAGTGGAATCCTCCTCGAGGCCCCGGGTCGGAGTCTGCGATGCCATATGCTCAAACGTGACGGCCCTTTGTAGAAACAAACCGGTTGATCTTCTGGTGGTTTCGCTTGAGGGGTGCACAGGAGGCAGCTGGCTATGGTGTGTTTGGCCTCAGCAGGTGCCTTGGGGACTCATCAATCCTGCCTGGCCGGGAAGGGGTCTGGTGAAGGCACCCCCTCTCCAAACTAGCATCCCCTACTCCCCTAAGCCTGGTTCCTGGGAGAGAGAGGACAGCTCCTTGCTGGAGGAACAGTCACCGTGCAAGGCCATTTCCCTCCCAGTAACTGACTACAGAGATGGGGACCAGAAGGGGAAGGCCCCAGGAGCCTGCCTGCTCAGGCCCGGTTGCTTAGCAACACCAGGGGCCCTGACTCCAGAAGGGATGTGTAAGCTAGGCCAGTCCCTTGGAGGTTTGTGTCTGGCTTGCCTGCGCCTTCTTCCGTTCTCACCTTGGCTTCGCTCTCTCCGTTATACTTGATGGGCGTCTAGAAAAATAGATTTGACTTGTCCGGAGGCACCATTTTAAACCTGGTCTTATTGCTTTGCCCAGTGTCTTCCCCTCCATCGGAGACTGTCATCTGGGAGGAGTGAGGAATGAATAGCCGATGGTTCTTTTTCTCAGCTGGCTTAGCTCAGGCCCCCAAGCTCCTTTCTGAGCCTTTGAGCTCCAGTGAGCAGTGCTTGGTCCTTCGCGCCGCGCACACACGCACACACGCACGTTGAAATTGCTCCAAGCACGGAGCCCTCTGCTAACAGTTCTGTCCACCCACAGCCATGTGGTCGGATTGTATTTTTACTGCCAACTTTGGGCACAAAATGAATGAGGAGACCAGGCTACTCGCCTGGCCAAACCAGGTACAGTCTGCAAGTGAATGGCTGATTGGTTTAGGACAGCACCTGCACTAAAGATGTGTCTTTTGTGGAGCAAATAAAGGATTGGATCATAAGTAAAAGGAGTGGAATTCAAAGCCAAACCTGGTTTCATAAGTGTGAGTTTCTTGAGGTCCGTGTGGGACTTGAGTGTGGATCCTGACTCTCCAGAAATGACTAAAAGGGTTGCAGGGTGCCTGGGGGGACAGAGGAAGGGACGAGGAAGAGAGACAGAGGATGCCTTTGGTATTTTCCTCTCTTTGATTTTTTTTTTTTTTTTTTTTTTGCGGTACGCGGGCCTCTCACTGTTGTGGCCCCTCCCGTTGCGGAGCACAGGCTCCGGACACGCAGGCTCAGCGGCCATGGCTCATGGGCCCAGCCGCTCCGCGGCATGTGGGATCTTCCCGGACCGGGGCACGAACCCGCGTCCCCTGCATCGGCAGGCGGACTCTCAACCACTGCGCCACCAGGGAAGCCCTCAAATAGGTTTTAACAAGCAACGTGACTTCTATAACGGAAACTGCCACCCCCCCCCCAATATATAATGTTTTGTGTATTTTGTTAAAATTCCTAAAGCAGAGACTCTATTTTGTATTTGTTTTGCAGGTGGAGGATGCAATGCTGATGTTTGATAAGACGACCAACAGGCACAGAGGTAAGAACCCCAGTGTGGGGAGGTTGCCCCTTCATCCTCTCCTGCCTCCATCTCTTCTCACCCCCAGTCCTGCAGACAAAAGATACAGTGACTGTTCCAAAATCAGGCAGGTGGAGGTGACGTGTGTTGTGGATCTCTATTAAGAGAGCGGCCACGGTAGTGTGGAGGGTTGACACTGGACAGTTAAAACACCATTTCCTTTTGGCTTGGGAACCGTCATTTAATTATGCAGCCACGCCCAACACGTGTTCTGATACACTTTTCCAAGCCTTGCTTTCTTAGTCCTTGCTGAACCACAGCACGAAGTGGAAATTATTCACAGCAGTTACTCAGTTGAGTTCTCAATTTGCATTGAAGGGGGGGGGGGGCGTTGAGAAGCACACTGTCAATCTAAAGAGCCCAAAAAAAAAAAAAAAGCCTCATCCTAGGTTTGTTCGCTGTTGGACGTATACAATGGGTGCAGACCTGGAATGCCCTTTTGTGCCTCTTGGATGCTTGGAGGACATCTGCACTTCCTTGTATTTTCTCCTGTGCTTACTGTCCTGTCCATGTTTTGGAAAATGGGTTTCATCCTGGGGTCTAAGAAGCCCTGAAATGACACACGGGATGTTTTATGTTTCTCTTGGGAGAGGCTCCCTAGCTTTGAATAGATTCTCAAAGGGGTCTCTGATTCTCATCATTGGATGACTCTAGAAAATCCTTCCCAGAGGAAGCAGCATCAAAAGTTATGGTTTAGCGTTCCGTTCTCCGGAAGCTCCTGGTTTCTGGGGTTCCTATTCACGGGGCATTAATGAACAGAGTTTCTGAAGGGGGGGTGGCAGGAAGCAGTGTTCTAGAGAGAAGGGGCCAGCGATCAGTGTTTCCTTGCCACTTGGATGGCATTTAGATGTTTCTTGTGTTGTTTACATTCTTGCTGTCCCCTGTGATTAGAAGCAGTTACCCAGTGCTGACTGCATGTCTCCCTGTTCTGAGCAGGCAGGCTGAGTGAAAGGGAGGAAGGAGTGGGTGGGGAGCGATGCTTCCAAGGGTGGGAGAAGGAGGGGCTGTCCTGAGTGTGCCTGGGGAACCAAGCATCTCATGCATCCACCTACAGCATCCTTAAAAGGGAAAATAGAAAACTGGGCAGAAAACGGGGGCCTCAGGGGTGTTATATGTTGGGGAAGGGATGGGGATGGGGTAGAGGATGAGGAGTTAGGGGGAGACAAGGAGAGAAAAGAAGAGCTTACAGGTGTGGAACGATTGCCTTTGCTTCTGCAACGCTCCGGAGTGAGAGGAAGGTGGTGCCGGTGCCGGGCGATTCTTGACGACCCTTGATCATCGTCTGCATTGCGTCGATCTTTATGGTTTTCCCAGCACTGCTTCCACACGCATCTTCTACCTTGATCTTCACAGCAGCCCCCGGAGGGAAAATCACTTAAGTTCTTTATGCCTCAGTTTATTCATCTGCAAAATGGAGATAATATGGGTACCTCCTTATAGGATTGTTTGGAGAGCGTAGTGCCAAGCACACCAACTGTGCATAAATGTTAGGTATTATTATTACCATCACCTCCATTTTGTGGATGAGGTAACCACATCTCAGAGAGGTGCCTTACATCCAGGATCAGAGAAGGGACTCACACCTAGGACAGCCGATTTCAAATTCTGCTCTTTTTTTTTTTTTTTTTTTTTTGCAGTACGTGGGCCTCTCACTGCTGTGGCCTCTCCCGTCGCGGAGCACAGGCTCTGGACGCGCAGGCTCAGCGGCCATGGCTCACGGGCCCAGCCGCTCCGCGGCATGTGGGATCCTCCCAGACCGGGGCACGAACCCGCGTCCCCTGCATCGGCAGGCGGACTCTCAACCACTGCGCCACCGGGGAAGCCCTCAGATTCTGCTCTTTGTTGTCTCCACGTGCAGCGGGTTTGTTGAGAAGGGTGTTCTCGGCCTTTTATTTTCAGGATGGGCGAGGTGCATCTGAACGTGGCACTGGTGTTCAGTGTTAGAATTCATAATTCTGGAAGATTCCTCAGCGACTTCTAGGCAGTATTGTTATTCTTTTCTGAATATCAGTGAAAAAGGTATTTTTGGTCTCTTGCTCTGTGTCAGGCCCTGTGTTGGGAGAGATGACAGATCATCTCATTGAACCCTCTCAGCTGAGCCGGGAAAGGGGTTCGTCATCTGAGGGACCTGAGGGGGCGGCTCACCCTCCGTGTCAGGTCACTCGGCTGGTAACTGACAGAGCTGGATTCACACTCAGGACGTCAGGCCCAGACACACTGCAGAGGAGGCGCCAGGGAAAGTTCTCCCCTGTTTCTAACGCAGATGCCTCCTGCTGTGGTTGAAGCCTCTTCCCCTTCTCCAAGGGCACTGGGCACAGTGATGGGGTGGGGGTCCCTCTGTGACTGGATGAGGGAAGTGTTTCCTGTTGGGAGCCTAAGGGAGGTCACCTGTGGCCCAGCACTCAGAGTAGCTTCAGGAACGTGGTCGCTCACTCCCCCAAGTCAGGACTCCTGGTGGCGATGGCAGGATGGAGGGCGGGCAGAGCCCCTGGTGCGTGCACGGCGCGGCCCCCTCCCCCAGCCAAGGCAGGGCCTGCCCCGCATCCTTCTGCCCTGCCCGCCTTTAAGATTCCTGTGGTCAGTGCAGGACCCCTTACATAATTCATGGAGTCAACAACAAGATGAAAGGCAGGGCCTCTTATTCAAAAACTATCCAGAATTTCAAGATGACAGCAGAGCATTCAACCAAGAGTGGAGCCCTTCTGAGCGCGGGGTGTATGTGACAGCTCAGGCCGCCCGTCCAGGAAGCCGGCCTGAGTGGATGCAGCCTGTGGCCGGCCTGTTGCTGGTGGGGCGGGGAAGAGAAGGCAGGAGAGACCGTGTGCCCAGAGGTTTCAACGGGAAGGACCTGACACCTGCTGCCCGTTTGCTCCTGTACAGAAATCTGGTCCCGCCGTCCCACCTGTGTCGGCGGGGGCTTTGGCCCATGCATGCTTTCCAGCCTCTCCAAACAGCTGAGGGGGAGTTTCTCTCTGGACGGGGTGCTGAAGCTGGGGTAATACTTCAGCAATCCAGAGCATTAGGGGAGGAAAGAATTTTCTCTAAAGAAAGAACGTATCACGAGAGAAGCACAAATCCTAGATGTGGAGCCAGCAGGCCTCACAGCCCTGGCCTGATGGAATGTGCACTTGGGATCAGGAGATAAGCACAGGAAAGTAAAGTCCTCCTGCAGCCACCTTGCCCCAACCTTTCCTTCACCTCCTCGGCTTCCTGTTTTCCATTATCTTATCAAGAGGAAAGTGCTGCTGGAGCAGGAGCTGAGGACACCTCTCTGGCTGGCACTGCCGCCAGCTCTCACTTAAAGAGGCCCAGACCATTAACCCCTCCGTGTCGTCAGGGCACACTTGCTTAGTGCTTTCCGTCACCTTCTAACCCAGCCCCGTTGGGCAGCCTGGACGGTGACTTGTCCTCTGCCCCAGGCATTTTGAAAACCACCTGTGTGCCCCTGAGCCGCGACCACTGCTGTCAGGGAAAACTCCGTGGCACGGGGCCTGGCCTTCTGGGAGTCAGGCCACACTTGCCATTAGGAGCCAGGGGTCGGGGCAGCTTTTCCACTTCCTGCCCCACGGTGGCCGCCTCCTGCCCTGTCCCCGCTGGTCCCGTAGGCACAAGGGTGGCCCTCAGTTTACTGCTCCTGTTCACGGAAGCGCCAGCCTGTGTTTCTTCCCACTTTGCATCTGCACTCGGACCTCGGTAGCACCGTGGGAAAGAGCCCAGGGGAGAGTCCGGCAGACGGTGAGCCCTCCAGGGAGGTGCATCCTCCGTCCTGGAAGCAGGAAGGTCGTTCAGCCTCTGACTCTCACGGAAGTGTGGAGTCTTCCCACCTTCGTCCTTAGAGGGACCGCCTTCCAGCTTCTGCTGCCCCTTTGCGCTTAGCCAGGGGCACTTCTCCTAAGCTCTCTGAACCCCTCAGGCTCTGCCTCTGGAAAATACATGAACTGGGACCGCTGAGCTCCAGGACCTAAAGTATGCTTCTGGCTTTTAGCTTTTTAACTGGAAGTATGTTCCAGATTGTTTCCTTTCTCTAACTAGCGGAGGGGGAGCAGTTGTCTCCAGTAGGGGTCCCTGGGATGGGGCTGGGTCTGCAGGAGGTTCATTGGGGATGCTCTTCACGGGGACTGGGCAGACGGAGGTGACAACCTGCGATGCCCTGGGGAGTTTGAAGAGAGGGTGGTCCTTCAGCTGCCCCAGTTATCCCCGTACGTTGATCAGTCATAGGAGGCAGCCCACCTGGGAAGCAGGTGTCATCTTGGGCTTGTACCGGGGAAGTCCTGGAGGGGACCAACAGCTGGGGCCGTCATCCAGCAGCACTCCCAGAGGCTGGGGAAGATGACCTTCATTCCTGAAGGGGGTCTGACCCCCCCGCCCCATCAGAGTGCACACCATAGTGGTACAGGGTTCTGTGTTAACCAGGTTGTGTTAGCACTCCTGGTAGAAACAGCCACTTTCTGAGCACCCCTATACCAGGTGCTTAGCACGTACTGTGGAATCTTTATGAACTGAGCTGCCCAGAGTGGCACACTAGTCCGAGCAGAACTTAGACGTAAACCCACCCTGTCCAACCCCGAGCCTGTGTTCTTAGCCGCTCTGCGAGCACGGGGCTAGGCAGTGGTTTAAAGCAGGAGAGTCGGCGATCTTAAGGACTTAAGCACCTCCTTATTACTAGTCCTTCTCCACACCTCTCCTCTTGCCGGACTACAATGTACCTCCATTTTTCAGATGGAGAAACTAAGGCATGTGGAGCTTTGGAAAGCCGCACAGCAGGTTCCTACAGCCAGCTGGGGAGCTGAGCTACTGGTAGAAGCTAGGGCCTTCCTTGGCCCCGCCCATCGCTTCATTTCGCGGCCTTCTCTGAGACCCTCTGTGCCCAAGGACAGAGAGAATGGTGGCTTTCCAGCCTTTTCAGAGTCATTGCATTTGCTCTCTAAACGTTCTTAGAGGTGGGCTGAAAAATATTGGAC